GCTTCTGTGAAGACTGACAGCCTTGGAGACCCTGTGGGCAGTTCCACTCTGTCCTCTAGGGGCGCTGTGGGTCAGAATGGACTCCACGCAGTGGGTGTGGTTTTTCTGGTTTGGGCTCATGCCGTGTGCTCCATTGAGCCGCTTGCTTTTTGAACCTTTATCATTATTTCCGACATAAGGTGTGTAAAGAAGGCCTTGTAAGATGCTGCTGCCTCTGTGCCGTCGGGCCATCGCACTGTGACGGTGAGGCAGTCTCTCATTTTTCGGTAATGCGTTCCCCTGGTGGCCAGGCAACCCGGCCCAGCCTCCTGAGCTGCTGGGTCTCATTGCGCTGGGCACTGTCTCTTCATAAGCTTTTCTGATTATTTGAGGTGGTTATGAAACTAATCCCTACCCTCTGCAGTTTTGGGTGGGGACACCTGTCGGTTGGGGTCTCTTGGGCACCTGGGGTCCAGGCTGTAGTCGTGGGTCATGTGTGTGTGTGTGGGGGGGAGTGGCACCCTGGTATCCCTGGGACTGTGTGTGCAGACTGGGGCGGGGACCTGGAGGAGCCTCAGGGTGACTGGGGTTGAAGGGGGAGCTTCAGCACGGGGTGGGGTGCAGGCGGACTCCCACAGAGGCTGGTGCCTAAGCTCTCCCTGGAAGCTGGCTTTTGGCCTGTGTCCCTTCAAACTTGCAGTTCAAATACCAGTGTCCAAGGAGCAGAAGCCAGTGTCCTTGGCCTTGTGGCGCCCGAGCCTCCCACGGTCACAGGACCATGCGGCCCCCGGCCCCGGATGCAGTCTGGCGCCCTCTGTTGGAGAGCGGCACGTGGTGACCAGAGAGCAGAGCGGCGCAGTCCCGCCAAAGCCGACCTGCCAGTCCCAGTCCCCACGTCACTGTCCGAATCGCAAAGGCGTGGAAGCGCCCCAGCCCCGCGCAGGCCGATGACACCCGCAGAAGAAAGAAAGGTTTTATCTGAAAGGTGCGTAGACAGCGTCCCCGAGGCCAAGGAGCGCCCTCGCCCCGTGCGCAGGTCCGGGCGAAGCAAGGGACTCCCCGCGTCCTCCGGGCCGCCCCCTCTCGGGTCCCTTCTCCCCACCCCCACTCGGTGTGGGCTCTCTGCGCAGTCAGCACGATGGGCTGGGCTCTGGGGACTAAGGACTCCACGAGCAGAGGTCTCCCTGTCCCTTCTGTCCCCAGAAACCTGTGGCTTTCTTAACCCTACTCCAACCCCACCCCACTCGCACCACCCCTCCCCCGCCCCCCAGGAAGGGGCCTGCGCAGCTGGCCCTCTGTTCACCCCTCTCGCCACAGACATCTGGGGAGAGGTGGTACATCAGTCCAAGGGCTCCCCAACTGGGTCAGGGGGTCCAGAGCAGCCCCTCCCCCAGTGGCCAGCAGCCCCGCCCCAGGCCTCTGGAGCCACCACCAGCCTGGGGTTCATGCTCCCAGAATCCGAGTTGGTGGTAGCCAGAGCAGTCCTCACCCCAAGCAGATCCTGGGGTGAAGGTGTCATTGTGCTGGGCTGCAGGCCCGACCCCTTACGGACAGCGGGCCCTGCGGCCCTGTGCCTGGCCGCGATGGGGTGTTTAGGTGCTGGACAAGGAGGTGCCGCCGGGGGGGTGCGGACCCAGGCGGGAGAGACCCAGGCCTGACCCAGGCCCAGAGGCAGAGACTCAAAGACAGGTGGGGAGTTTGAGAGGGAAGAGAGGAGAAGCCAGGATGCACGGTGGGGTCGAGGGTGAGGCCGAGGCTTGGGGTTATGATCCCATTTGGGACTGGGCTGTCTTGGTTTGGTAGCGAGACAGGGTTAGTGTGTAGGGTGTGCCTACAGTCAGTATCTTGAGGTGAAGAGATGAGTGCCAGAAGCAGCTAGACGCGGCAGGACGGACAGACGTCAAGCACAGGAGGACGGCCCAGAAGCAGAAGCTGGAAGACAAGGACCTTCCCCAGAGCTGACAGGGGGAGCCTCGCCCAGAGCCGGTGCCCTCGACGCAGGCGTCTGGCCTCCA